CCCACATCCACACACCCCACACCCACACCCACACCCACACCCACACCCACACCCACACCCACACCCACACCCACACCCCGACACCCACACCCCGACACCCACACCCACACCCCGACACCCACACCCACTGCGGTTCCTGTAAGTTTCGAGCGATCCGAAAGGTGGAATTATCGTCGTTGGGAGATTGCTTAAAGTACCTGTCCGTAAGAATTATTGGTGACGGTTTTTGATGGAAGATGTGTTAGCGACGATGGAACTACGTTTTCTTTTATTTCTTTTCCAGACTCACGTCGTTCTCATACAAAGATACACTTATATGCTCGCCCATCAGACATAAGAAAGAAAAGAATAATAAGCACAAATAGTGAGAGTAATGAGAGAGGGACAAAATACAACATGATGCAGGAAGTAAGGACAGAAAGATAAGGACAATACATAAGATAAGAAGAAATGGTAAGGATAGGTCATACATCACACAGAGAGTACACTCAAGCGGGTGCGTTACATTATTCACTCGTGTCAACAATTATAGAAGAAAGTATGCTGTGTTTGGACTTAATGTTATTCCGCCTAGGTTTATTTTATATCTATATGAATTATCAATGTTCATGAGATTAAGATACGACTAAGGCATATGTATCTATTTTGGGGATCAACAGAAAAAGATATGGAGTCAATATTAGACCAGTTGAGAGCCAGTGGTGTTAATTGATTGCTTATTGTGTTAGTCTGCGAATATTTCTGAGTTTCACTCAAACTTCCACTCAGAATAACATTGATGCTAGCTAACTCTGCTGAATTCAATTCTAAGGCAACTACTGTAACTGAACCACGGAATGAAATTGACATTGGTTGTTTATTGTAGTTGAAAGCTACAAACTGCTGACCCGATCTGAATGCAGCAGCACTATAATAAAAGTTGTAGTCGTGAGTAGCATCCCATCGTTTTGATTCGTTGAGATAAACGTAGCCAACATTGTTCCAAGTGAATTGTTTGTAACCAAGAGGGATATAATCATATGTAGTCGTGGGATTTGGAATATCATTAAAATCAATCACTGTGACCGCTTTCACTATGAGGATAAAAAGATAATGCCAGAATAAGGTGAATTTCGAAAAGATCTAGTTTTATTGAAAAGAAATACAGATTAATTACGATCGGAGGAAGAGATATATTGAAAATTTTGCTGAAATTTCCCTTTCCTACCCTTTGTTATGCTCTTACCTTTTTGAGTTTGTTTTTCTTCGATATCTGTCATCACAAACTCACTCTCTAGAATGCCCTTACAAAAAAATTTGTCCAGTATACCATCACATTCACGGACAAGGCATGAAGTCCTGGTTACCAGAATCTCGAGATTTTCATCCATATCATCCATACTACTATAATAAAACGTGGTTTACTGTCCGTCTGTTATCAGGTCAAAGATCAACAGAACATGTCCTCAAGGGCTACCCTATAGGGGTACCCATAGGTCCTCAAGGGCTACCCTATAAGAGTGCCCATAGGTCCTCAAGGGCCTCTATATAGGAGTACTCAAAGTTCCTCAATGGCTATTATATGAGAGTAACTATTAGTCCTCAAAGGGTATCCTATGGAGGTACCCATAGGCCCTGAAGGGAGTAACGCTGTAAGGAGGTAGGTAATAAGCGGTAAGGCAATAAGGAGATAAGGCTACAAGAGCTACAAGGGATATAAAGTTATAAGGTCGAAGGCTACATGGGCTATAAAAACATTAGCCATAGTTGATGAACATAATCCACGTTATTTTAAAGTAGTCATTGATGGACCTAGTGAAGTATGATTATGTTTTGAATATATTTTTATAAATTAATTATATTTTATTATTATAGAGTCCATATGAAGGTGGTAAATTCAAAGTTGAATTATTTTTACCTGAAGAATATCCAATGGCACCACCAAAAGTTCGTTTTATGAAAAAACTTTATCATCCAAATATTGATAAATTAGGTCGAATTTGTCTTGATATTCTCAAAGGTATTTAGATTTATTTTATTTATGAATTTTCATGAAAATTTTTTTGTTTTCATCTAAAAAATGGAGTCCTGCTTTACAAATTCGTACCGTCCTTTTATCTATTCAAGCTTTAATAAGTGCACCTAATCCCGATGATTTTTTAGATGCTGATGTTGCTGAAAAATGGAAAGCTGATGAAAATGGAGCCAAAGCTATAGGTATTCAAAAACAAAAACAAAAAAGAACAATTAATTATTCATACATGATTCATTAAATAATTCGTCTTTGTATTTATTTTTAGCACGTCATTGGACTCAAAAATATGCTCATGAAATTTAGAAAAATAACATATATATATATATATCTATTTATATAAATTGGTCGGATCATATTACATAACGAACATTCAAAATCATAGGATGGTGAAAGTATTCTTTTTGTATGCTTTTTTTTTCTTTGCATGTTCATAGTTTCTTTTTATCTTGGCTTTCTTTTTTTGTAATCAAGACCAAAATACATATATATATATATAGAACTGAAAAGAAGTAGATGTATGTCATGAAGCACAATTCTGCTAGGGAATCAGAATTCTAACTAAATTCTGGAGGAAAATCAGAATTCTAAGCAGAATTTTGTTTTTCATGCAGCTGTATATGTATGTAATGTAACAGAATTCTGATACAGAACTAGAATTCTGACTCATTTCTGCCGTGAAACAAAATGCTTTGCAGAGTTTTCATTGCGCTGAAGTGGTATATGTATTTAATATAGCACAATTCTGTTAGGGAACCAGAATTCTGATATAATTCTGGTTAAATTCTGCTGAATAAACAGAATTCTAAGCATAATTGTGATTTGGAAGCAGCGGTGTTTGTATATGAGGAAGCATATGACGTAGCTGTATAGGATTGCGCACAATTCTGTTTAGTAATCAGATTTCTGACTAAAGTTTCGAAGAAAACAGAAGAATTCTGGTTAAATTCTAATGAATAAACAAAATTCTAAGTAAAGTTAGAGAACTCTGAATGGTATATAATGTTGATGCTATGACAGAGTTCTTATATTCTGCTTGTGAAGAATTCTGTCAGCCCTCTCTCTGAAGTATTTTTAATTAATTTTCTAACTGTTAGAAAAATGCTTTTTTAATGAAAAAAGAAAAAAAAACGCAAAAGTTAGCTTTCTTCACAGCTACTGCTAATAAATTGTATTAGAGACTTGACTAGGACATGTATTATTCGTCTAAGTTTTTCGCAGTTTTTAGATCTTCGATTAGTGCTTTTAACCGATACTTGCTGACTAGAATTAATCGTTGACAATTTATCCCATCTATTTGTTCCCAAAACGGTCAATTGAAAATCTAATATAAAATCGACCAGAAATTCTTATAATGTATGATTTCATGCGCCTTTATCTCCTCTATCTAGCGGTGAAAACCCCAGTTCTCTATCTTGAGTCTGTCAAAAGTTATTCGAAAAATGCTCATCTACCTTTTTCAAAATGAGCGTTCTTGCTACCAGAACACATGCGTACAAAACAGATCTTATCAAAGTTTTATTATTATGATATTAGTTGGGGTATCATCAAATAGTATAAAAGAATAGAGCATTCTTTTCTCTATCAAACTGTATAGAAAGAAAGTTTTTAAAAGTTTTATGTAAGGGAATACAAAGGCTCCGCCAGTACTTTTGGATTGCCCTAAGTATCTATCTTGATTTATATGATACTTGTATTTCATACAAATAACATCAACTTACAGAAGGAGATCAAAACTTTTGAATTACCATTGAAACTATATTTATTCCTAACTCGTTGCTAACCAATGAATATTTTGTTACTATAACTTATTCGATCGAAATTTAATGAGATTATCATCATTTTTCGTTCAGATTCACCAAATAAAGAACTAAAACGAGTATAAAATATTTAATATTTAAATGATAATAATTCCTATTTACTCTTTTTTTTTCTTTTCTTTTATTCTTCTTCAAAAAAAAGCACCAGAGAAACACATATAGACAAATAAGAAACGAACTAACGACATAAAGCCTGAGAAAAAAAATGATCCATTGACAATATAGAAGTTCTAATGTTTGAAGTTTTTTCTTACAACATCGCAAATAAAAATAGTTCACATCTTTCTCGTTTCTCCTCCATCTTTCTTTAATACATCTTCTGCAACACCATCAATGTTATTTATCATTAGAAGTTTTCGTATTGTTTGTAGAACATTATTCACTTGTTGTTAATTTCCTTCAATATTAACAATACGTTTTCGTCGATCAATATTTTCATCATTCGAATCACTTATGTTAACAATAACGCCAGTTTCATATTGTAATTGTTGAATTCATTTTTCTTTTGATCCTAATAAAGGGTCTACTTGCATATCTATTATTGAAAGTGTTTGACGAACGGAAACAATCATAAGAACATGAGCAACATGTTGTTGAGTAGATGATTCTGGTAATGATGAAATAGAAGTCATAGGAGTTTGAAAATGATTTGTTAATTGAAGAAGAAATAAAGAATTTGTGTTTGTAGTATTATTTTTAATAGATGAATGATTGAGCACTAGAATATCTAAATAGCCACAATAGAGATGAGTTTTTGATCTATTATAATTGATTGGAATGTATGGATTAGATGCAATTGGTACAGCTAAAAAATACAAATGTAATTAGACTTCAATCAATAGTTGAAATTTGCTAAGCAATTATTCAAAAAAAACTCGTTATCTCGAATGATCAGATATAGAAGAATATACTAAATTTTTGAATTTGTCTTCACTTTTAAGTAGAATAAATCAGAGTTTGATGCTTTGGTCCATTAATCCAACTGGATCTTGTAAAATCCTACTAGTAGACAGAATCTGACGGAAATTCAGTTGATGGAATCACTGTCGAATTCGACGATCCAATCCTACTTACTACTCGTTTAATTAGTATCCATCTAATCAGTAGGAAATTACAATACTAGGATGCAATCTTATCTGACTGTCGACGATTTCATCTGATTTCATTTCCCGGAATCAATATTAGTTTCTATCGAATTTCATATTGTAACATAAAATTGCGATAGTGCCTCTATCTAATGCTTATTGGAACCGATGATATCCGACTATTGGACTAATGAGCCTGGGTCATCAATACGAGTTTTATAATGATTATCCACTTTTACTCAATATCATTCGCCAATCTATGATTTCTTCCTTACGATAAAATAATGAATTGTTTTCAGAATGAATAAAATTTCAAAAAACATTTTTCTCATTTGTGACGTTACCTTGTTGACAACAAATTGTATAAATTTCTTCTAAACATGATACCATTTTTCTTGGATCATTACAAATAATTCTAATCACACGTTCACTTGATTGTGGACAACATTCTTGAGCTGGTTGAAGTAAAATAAGATCATAATTAATACGCATTTGTTAAGCTTGTGTACCAATTCATGGTAAATATGTTTGGTTAATATGTATACGAACTTCTTCATCATTACCTAATAATTCACTAAGTAAATCAAATGGACAAATAAGAATACATTCAGGTGTTTAACAATCAATTCTTGTTAATAAATCATTATAATAAAATACATCTGATATATATCGATCATGTGGAATAAGTAATCGACGTTTTGTATTGAATTTATTGAATAAATGAAATTGTTGTTGAGAATTTGATAATTTAAATAATTGTCAATCATCATCAAGTGGAGTAAGACTAGATGAGAAAACAAGACAAGACAAGACAAGACAAGACAATACAAGACAATACAGTACAAGAGAAGAGAAGAGAAGAGAAGATGAACAGGAAACAAACAAAAAATAAGAAAAATTGATGGTTGATTTCTAAAACAAAGATAAATTATTACACTCGCGAAAATTTCATTTATTTTTCACTTACTTTAGTCTGTAGGATAAGGACGTTTAAGCATATGGTTCAGAGCTTTAATACGACCATCAATTTCCTTTTTTCGTTGTTCATTTTCTTCATCGAGCTTTTCCTTTTCTTGTTCGAGTTTTTCATCGAGATTAAATTTTTGTTGTTCGTACATTTGAATTTCTAGAACAAACAGAATGACGAGAGGCTTTTAACAAGTTATATTACCTTTTCTAATTTCATTTTCTTTCATCATGCTTATTGTTTCTTTGATCCGATTATTTGAGTTTGCGATATCAATATAGACTTTAGCAATATCTTTTGCCAATGTATATGATGGATCTTCGTTCATCATGAAAAGTCTAAGATTTAAAATTGACTTCTTAGATGACTGTATCGATAAAAAACTATGATCAACGATTGAAAATTCGCATAAAATTCTAATTCTCAATGATTATTTTAGCATCACGTCAGTGATGACGAAGAGATCGAATATCTATCATATTATATTCTGTTCATTACAAAGACTATACATGAACATATGAGCATAGACATTTCGCTTAAAGAAATAAACATCACTTTGGGTAAAACTTGTAGATTTTGTAGTTTTGTGTGAACGTGAATTCTTTATATTCAATGACAAATCAGATGGAGAAGCAGCACGAAGAACAAGAGAGAAGAGAACACACAGAAGAAAAGAGAAGAGGACTACCCTAGCAGTCAAAATTAAGTAAAAAACGCGCTATAACGAACGTTATTTTATTTTCTTTTAACGTATTTTTTCTTTCAACAAATGTCCGAATTTTTGCGTTTTAACAGTTGAATTATTTTCGACTTTGAACTCGTAATAGTGAGTGGAAACACAAGCGTTTAAACGCGTTTTCACAGTGAATGCGTTTAAACGCACAAAATCGGACACTTTTCATATGTTTAAACACGTTGAAAATTTACGTTTTCATGGGTTAATAAATGAGTATTTGAGTGCTATAAAACACAGAAATTTTTTCAATATTAAATACTAATTAGATATTTTTCATTAGGAGATTTCTATGTGTACTCTCACAGTTATCAGAAAGAAAAACAACAAGAGAAAAAAGGATCATTAGATATGCATATATTTCTAAGTATAGTTCACATTTTTTAACAGAATTTTCATATGTTATTTTCATTTCCTGTATATGTAACAATCCTTTTTCTCTTGTAGGTTTTTTTGATAACTGTGAGAATATACATAGAAATCTCCTAATAAAAAATAACTAGTATTCAATATTGAAAAAAATTTCAATGTATTTTATAGCACTCCTATACTCAATTATTCACCGATTACTTTCTACTGCTGCTCCTAGTGGATTTATTTTTTTAATGGATTTCATGTACTACTAATTTGTCGCCGTTCAATATCAAATGGAAAGAGGATCTAAAACACAAATAGTCGTAATTGCATACCTAGGACTAACGAACGTTAAACTTTAATTTGCCTAAAATTATTTCATTTAGTTATATTGCTAACACATTACACGAAGAATGGGACGATGAAAAAACTATCTATATCCTAAAAATGATAGATAAAGTTTGCAAACGATAAAAAGATGTTATTCTGTTCACTTTTGAAAAGCTTTATTCCTAAATCACTTATCAAAAATTCTGTAAGCATGCATTAAAAGATCGCGATCATTCGTTCATGTAGGCTTCTCATCTATATCTTGCAAAGACTATTCTATAACTACTCAACAATTTTATTTAATCTGCTCATTGCTCTAAAAAATTTTATATTTAATTCAAACAAAAATATTCTATATACATGCAGCAAGAGTTTTGGTCTCTTAATATATAGAAAAGCTTGTGACTTGAGTGCATGCGACGAAAACTCTATTAAGACCCAGTGAAAAATATTTTCATTGTGTTCAATACTTTAAACTTCATTTCTAGGCAAGACATAAAAATTCTATTCTCATGCAGTAAAAGATTCGGTTCTTTCCATTACACAAAGACTTTCTCTCTATTTTTTATGAAGATCATTCTATTAAAATACACTTAGATATATTTTTATTCTGTACATTAGTTTAAAAAAATTATATATTCAATTCACGCAAAAAATTCTATTGGCATGCACTAAAAGAAATTTTTATTCTAATCATTCATACAAAAATTTCTATTTTTAATTATCTTAAAAATATTCTAATGTAAACTAACCTTGTCAAAAATGTTCTAATCAGCTGATCGTTCTGATTACTATACAAATATATATGATACAAATGTTCCCAACTTACGTTGTTAGTGTGTTACGAGAGAGAGATAAAGAAATAAAGAGAAAGAAACAAAGAACGATATTACGACGAATGAAATTAGCGTACAGAAACACATAGTATTAGATAATTATTGGCTAGTGAAATCTACTTAGATAATCAACTAGGGAAAAGTGAATGGTCAAAAGAAAAAAGCAATCGAAATATTTATTATTTTTAGAATCTTTTCTTTACGAGTTAACTATTCTTTATGTTTTCTGTTGCTTTTCTTGTATATTTAATCCAATGGAAATGGATTATTAAATAAAGATAAAAGATTACCTGCTATCGACTAAAATATATCCTCACATTAATAGAATTAAACACACTTGACTGTTTAAGTGCATTTATTGTACATCGAATA